CATAGGTATCCTCTGCTAAATTCAGAAATATCTTATACGTTCCTCTCTACAACTTTTATAATAAAATAATTTCCTAAAGAATGCATATAACAAAACTTTCCTTGTGAGTTTACCCACTATCTTGATTACAAAAAAAATCGTATTTGTTCATCTCATCCATCTATATCTACACAGATAGATATATATATATGCATGCATACACACATGAATACATAAGTTTTACTTAGTTTTTTGTATCAAACTTCTTTAAGGAAAATCGGTTTACTTCCATTAATAACTCTTTTGTAAAGTATGGTTCAGTAGAACTAATCATAGCTCTCCTCTTTGGAAATCTCTTACGGAACACAGTACTCAAAGTACTAAAATAACACAGCTGACACATGTTTAATGGAAATTAATCAGCTAAAATAGAAGATACAGTTTCTTCAAGTTCCTGTGTTTCTGCAGACCCATGTAATGGACTCCTTTGCTCAACTTACATGTTAATACAATTTATCCAGATATAAAGTAGAGGGGTTCTTGACACGCTGGAGTAACATCTCTTTGCTTAGGTAGTGAAGCACTAATTGCTTTACCTCTTGGAATGAATGTGCCAGGCTCAGGGCTGAACCTGCAGGAATTTTGCCTGTTGTGAAAGAGTGATACCCCTAAGCTGAGAAACCTGCAGAGCAGAAAAGTTAGGAGTGTTTTCAACTCTCTTTCTGAATTGGTTGCGTTATCAAGTAACTACACAAACTAATTTTGAACTCAGATTTGTATCTGTTCAGGATATAGGTAACTTTTTGCAAAATAGTTTTGGTGGTACAGTCCTTTCCTATTTAAAGGTAATTATATGCTTACTGGCACTTTTTACTCGTATAGCTTATTCTACGTGTATAAAATAAGTTGTACAGGTATAGCCTGTATAACATTCTGGTCTATGACGTAAACAGGATGTTCTTTTTTCTACTATGTTATTGTTGTTGAAATGGTGCAAATTTGTGTACAGCTAAGTTCCTAAATGCATGTTCATTTGAAATGATGGTATTTGTTCCAAAGTGTGTGGTTGGTTGTTTTTTTGTTTGGTTGTTTTTTTGGTTTTTGGGGGGTTTTTTTTGTACAATACAGTAAGGCATGATCTTGGCTGGGCTTTCCCAGAGCTCTGTAACAGAGAAAGCAAATAACTTTGAGGGCCATCCAAATAACTGCTGGTATGTCTTAGGAAGGTTTTCTTACAGGATATTTGTATCAGCTCATGCAGCCACTTTGAGATTCTGCCTTCATCCCTGACGTGCCAGGGAGAACCTTTGTTCTAAGGGGCCACCATGGTGTGGGAGAACCCTTTGTGCAAGAACAAAGGAGTATTGTATTGGCATGAACCATGGAAGGGAGGGGAGTGGGCTGAAGGCTTTCTTTCAGAGGCACTGCATATATATATTGATAGCAACATTTCCCCTATAAATCTCCCCTATGATACGAGTTCTATGTGGGAGCTGAGCAGGAGATAAGATCTCTTTTTATTTTGTGTAAATTCTTAGTGACGAATATTTGATACGATTTTCTTATTTAAAACATGGTGTCACTTGTATTTTTATAGCCTAAAGCAAAAAGCCTGGCAGTAGGCTGGACCATGATGGTAGAATTGTTCCTACACTTTAAAAGTAACTAACAGCTTGTGCCTTACTAATTAACGCTAGAAGAGTGGCCCTAGTTATGGCAAGCTATAATGAAAGCTCATGGCTGGCAAGGGCAAAAGTCCAAGAAATGTAGAAGACGAAGTCTGGCAGAGGTAGTGGGTATTACTGCTTGGCGTTCCAAATATTAGTAAAATATGCCTTTAGTGTAAACAATACATGGGCCATACCCAAAACACGTACTGTAATGGAGACTGCGATAGTTTTAAGATAGAGCAAAACAGAAACAGGCATTTTTGGCTCACACCTGCAGTGGATCATTCAGACCATCTCTTCTCACACAGACAACAGTGGAGAGGCAAATCTGACATCTGCAGCAACAGCCTCCTCACAAACCTGCAACAGAACCATTGTAGATATCAGATTAGTATTTGCCTATCAGTCTCTGATCAACAGTACAAGTAAACATAAACATCACTTGACACTTTTTCACCAAGTTTTTGGCTTCAGCCCCAATGCTAGCTGCTTCTCCCGCAGAAGAAAACCTTGCCACCTTGCAGAGTGGAGCACCCCTGGCCATGAGTGCCCATCTGATCCAACAGCTCGCTGGCAGGAGAGGGGGAAGCTGGGTCCCCTCTGCCTTGCCTCCAGGTTGCAGGATACTGCTGCACCTTCACAGTACCAATGCTGTTGAACCTCCTCTGAGCTCATTCAGCCCTCCAGAAACAGCCTGCCTTTTTTCCTGGATTTGTGAGGTGAATCAGTTGAGGGGGACTGACAGAAGTGGTGGGGGAGAGGAGGTCTGCTCAGCCGTTGCAGGGGACTGCAATAGAAGTGTGCCTGGGGTTGTTTCCGCATGGACCAGGAATGGCAGATATTTCTGGGCTCTTCACAATCAGCTGCTTCACCTTCACTGCTGCAGGAGACAGCATTCATCGCACTGATGCGTGGGGAAGGGGAAAAATTCTCCAGGTTCTTCTGTTCCCTTATAGCTGAGTACAGTGTTTAGGTCCCAGGAAATAATTGTAGCTGAATTGGTCATTAAGGGTAATATGAGTCCTGTTGGCTATGATTTAAGATTACTTGTGTTCCTTTTTGTTTTGAAATCAGTTGAGCAAAATGGATCTGTGTTCCTCAGCAGAGCTGCAGTCCAGGCATTTACAGCGTGCTGGTATTTCATTTGGGGGGGGGGGGGTTTTTTTACTAAGCCCCCCTGGTAGTAGTTTTATGAGGAGGCTTGAACAGCAGTGTCCTTACATCCTGCTAGTGGTTTGCTTGGATAAAGACAGTTGGAGTTGTTTGTGCCAAGTGTGGGCGAGAAACCAGCTGGGTTGACCAGAGTGAAGGTGGGAGGGTGGTAAAATGGGAGACCAAAGTGGGCTTGTAACAGGAAGGGGTATCTGGATTGCTGAAACAAGAGTCTTGAACTTGATAAAATAGCAAAGGGAGAAGGAGGATCCGGTGAAAGGATCTGGTGTCAGAACAGGAGATCAAGGAGTCCGTGGTTTTTTTGGTTTTTGTTTGGGTTTTTTCCAGCAACAAATATCAAAGAAATATGAAATGCTCGTTTGTTTGGCTGTAACCATAACTGCATAGTAAGTCCTGCTGGGTGGGATGGATTTTTGCAAGGTCCAACTTGCAAAACAAAAGGCTGAAATTCTTTGAATGAAAGTTCAGTGAAATGACTCAAACAAATACAGCCTTGTCTTGAGTTATAACCACCAGCTTATTAATGAGTTAACTTCTACTGTTTAGGTCTCTGAAAATAATTGTTCCGATTGTTCCCATTGTCCCGGATTGCAGCAGTGGAACAGCCCGTGGCTGTGATGGAAACACTCCCGGGGCTGAAGGGGGGTTGTTTCTCACCTCATTGTCAGCGATTGGCTTCAGCCACTCGCGTTCCCCTCACTTGGCTGGTCTTTGTTTTGCACTGGCTTGCTGTGCATTTCCATTTTAACTGGTTTATAAATATTATTGGCTGGATCCAAGAAAAATTGGCGGTCAGGGGCTTGGCCTAGCAGAGCTCTGGGGCCTGTTTCCAAAAAGACTGCTCTCCACTCCCAGCACTTACTGGTGACAGCATCTGTGGCAAATTACCCGTGAATACTTTGATGGGCTTGTCTCTGGTGCTGCTGGCATTAAAGGCAGAACTTACCCTGTGACAGTGCTGGGAGCCTCAGCTCTGGCAGGCGAGTGAGCAGGGAAGGCAGGGGCCAGCACGGACCTGTGCAGGGAAGGGTTGCTGCCTGGCTGCTGTTGTCTCAGGGGAAGTTCTCTGCAGTCTGCGCCTAAAAAGAGTGCAGTGGTTCAGAGGTGAATCCCAATTTTCCTCCTGTGCAGCAACGTGGGCTTCTGCCTGCTGATAAGGATGCTTGGTTCAGGCAGCCATCGAGGGGGAGTGTTCAGGCTCCCAGGTGCTCTGGTTGTGCTCTGGGGTGTCCTCGGCTGGTGGCATTTGCCAGGAAGGGTATTGCTCCCACTCGTTCTGTTTGGTCCCGTTGGTGGTTAGCTGTGTAATGGGGGCGTAACGGAGGTAGGCGAAGCAGAAAAGATGGTAAAGCAGATTGATGATTTATCCTGTGCTTCAGCACTGGGTAGCATTGGTGCTCTGAGTTGAGATCATCTCTTCCCTGTGCGAAGCTGGGATCCCTTAGGGCCGGAGGACACGCATTTTGCGTAGCTGACCTAAGTGCTGCTGCTCAAACTGTCTGTCCTCAGGAGAGTTTGTCTCGAGCTCCCACAGGTGAATGCCTGCTGAGGGCAGGGGTGTGCTGGTGCAGGGGGAGTGCTCAGGGGGCTCTGCGTCCACATAACGCTGCTCTGTGGTCTCAAGATCAGGAGGAAATTACCTTTGATTCACTTTTTTTTTTTTAAATAACCTTCCCTTGGTGGACGATTTATAGTTTTGTGGTGTTGTCTGATGTGTCCGTAGCTTGTTAAATATGGGACAGCATCGTTAAATAGATTAAATTGATCATCTCTCCATGGCCCCCGCAATAGCCTGCAGGGGCTGTGGGGGTTGACTGTAACAACAGGCGCCCGTCGTGGGTGCAGCGACTGCCGGGTAGGGTGGGCTTGCTTCAGCAGCCTTCAGCTCAGTAGTTGTAAGCATCGGTGACAGTCCGTCTCTAGCTCTGTCCAAGCGATCCACCTGCACCCTTTGCCTGTACATCCTTGGAGACAGGCATGTCTGGAGATTGAAGGACTACTCTTGTTGTAATGCTTTGTAGGAAGCCAATGAACTATTTTGCATAAAGGGCACAAATAAATACTCTTGTAGTGCTTACAGTAGTTATGCATTTCTTGTAAATTAACTCATAATTATCCATATCCTGTTTCACTTTGTAGGGTCGCTGTCTTTGATGGTAAGCAGAAGGTCATCTTACAATGAGTTACTGGAGTCTGGATAAGAAAAGCTGTCTGCAGTACTGCAGGCACTTCTTGGTGGACAACGGTGTATTTCATGGTAAGTTACAAGTTATCTTGTATTTTTGGCTTCTCGCGTTTCCTACTGCCAGATGCCGGTTAATTTTCCGAGCCGTGTATGTGTCTCTTGTTGGTAACGCTCCGCTCGGGGTCAATTAGCAATGGGTGCTGCACCAGCCTCGCTTCCGCCGTCCCTTTACCGTGCTGCGCCCCAAAGCGCGTGCAAAGGGGGGTCCCCGGGACTGCCGCACCCCCCCACCGCCGCCTTAGTGCGGGGCGCGGGGGG